TCCAGCCACCTCCTCACTGCAGCATTTACAACCCAAGCTTCACACCCATGTAAGTGTGTTGGTATTACTATACTTTCATACATTCCTTATTTGCCTCCACAGATAAAGATTTTTGTCTCCACAGATAACCTCAACACACACTCACCTCTTTTCCTTCATCAATTCTATGGTTAACCTCATCCTTCATAAACCTATCAGCTGACAAGTCAACTCCCAATTATCTGAAAATATTCACTTCTTCCACACTCCCTCTCTCCAATGTGATATCCAATTTTTCTTTATCTAAATCATTTGATACTCTCATCACCTTACTCTTATCTATGTTCACTTTCAACTTTCTACCTTTACACACCCTCCCAAACTCGTCCACTAACCTTAGCAACTTTTGTTTAGAATCTCCCACAAGTACAGTATCATCAGCAAAAAGTAACTGTCAAGTCAAATTTTGTACTAGATTCTCCATAATTTAATCCCACTCTCCCCAACACCCTAGCATTTACTTCTTTTACAACCCTGTCTATAAATATATTAAACAACCATGGTGACATTACACATCCCTGTCTAAGACCTACTTTTACCGGGAAGTAATCTCCCTCTCTCGTACACACCCTAACCTGAGCCTCACTATTCTCATAAAAACTCTTTACAGCATTTAGTAACTTACTACCTATTCCATATACTTGCAACATCTGCCACATTGGTCCCCTATCCTCTCTAGCACAGGCCTTTTCTAAATCCATAAATCCAATGAAAACTTCCCTACCTTTATCTAAATACTGTTCACATATATGCTTGAATGTAGACACTTGATCTACACATCTCCTACCCACTCTAAAGCCTCCTTGCTCATATGCAATCCTTCTCTGTCTTACCTCTAATTCTTTCAATAATAACCCTACCATACACTTTACCTGGTATACTCAGTAAACTTCTTTCTTTCTTTCAACACATCAGCCGTATCCCACCAAGGTGGGGTGGCCCAAAACGAAAAACGGAAGTTTCTCCTTTTACATTTAGTAACATATACAGGAGAAGGGGTTACTAGCCCCTTGCTCCCGGCATTTTAGTCGCCTCTTACAACATGCATGGCTTATGGAGGAAGAATTCTGTTCCACATCCCCATGGAGGTAAGAGGAAATTAACAAGAACAAAAACTAGAAAGGAAATAGAAGAAAACCCAGAGGGGTGTGTAAGTATATGCTTGTACATGTATGTGTAGTGTGACCTAAGTGTAAGTAGTAGTAACAAGATGTACCTGAAATCTTGAATGTTTGAGACAGAAAAAAGACACCAGCAATCCTACCATCATGTAAAACAATTACAGGTTTCCGTTTTACACTCACTTGGCAGGACAGTAGTACCACCCTGGGCGACTCAGTAAACTTATTGAGGTTGTTGAGGTGGTTCGGACATGTAGAGAGAATGGAGCGAAACAGAATGACTTCAAGAGTGTATCAGTCTGTAGTGGAAGGAAGGCGGGGTAGGGGTCGGCCTAGGAAAGGTTGGAGGGAGGGGGTAAAGGAGGTTTTGTGTGCGAGGGGCCTGGACTTCCAGCAGGCATGCATGAGCGTGTTTGATAGGAGTGAATGGAGACAAATGGTTTTTAATACTTGACGTGCTGTTGGAGTGTGAGCAAAGTAACATTTATGAAGGGATTCAGGGAAACCGGCAGGCCGGACTTGAGTCCTGGAGATGGGAAGTACAGTGCCTGCACTCTGAAGGAGGGGTGTTAATGTTGCAGTTCAAAAAATGTAGTGTAAAGCACCCTTCTGGTGAAAGTTTTTCTTTTTCGGGCCACCCTGCCTTGGTGGGAATCGGCCAGTGTGATAATAAAAAAAAAAAAAATATTTACAATCTCTTTTGTCCCCTTCCCTTTATATAAAGGAACTATACACACACTCTGCCAATCCCTAGGCACCTTCCCCTCTTTCATACGTTTTTTTTTTTTTTTTTTTTTTTTTTCAACAAGTCGGCCGTCTCCCACCGAGGCAGGGTGACCCAAAAAAAAAGAAAGAAAATCCCCAAAAAGAAAATACTTTCATCATCATTCAACACTTTCACCACACTCACACATTATCACTGCTTTTGCAGAGGTGCTCAGAATACAACAGTTTAGAAGCATATACGTATAGAGATACACAACATATCCCTCCAAACTGCCAATATCCCAAACCCCTCCTTTAAAAGTGCAGGCATTGTACTTCCCCATTTCCAGGACTCAAGTCCGACTATATGAAAATAACCGGTTTTCCCTGAATCCCTTCACTAAATATTACCCTGCTCACACTCCAACAGATCGTCAGGTCCCAAGTATCATTCGTCTCCATTCACTCCTATCTAACACGCTCATGCATGCTTGCTGGAAGTCCAAGCCCCTAACCCACAAAACCTCCTTTACCCCCTCTTTCCAACCCTTTCGAGGACGACCCCTACCCTCTTTCCTTCCCCTATAGATTTATATGCTTTCCATGTCATTCTACTTTGATCCATTCTCTCTAAATGACCAAACCACCTCAACAACCCCTCTTCTGCCCTCTGACTAATGCTTTTATTAACTCCACACCTTCTCCTAATTTCCACACTCCGAATTTTCTGCATAATATTTACACCACACATTGCCCTTAGACAGGACATCTCCACTGCCTCCAACCGTCTCCTCGCTGCTGCATTTACCACCCAAGCTTCACATCCATATAAGAGTGTTGGTACTACTATACTTTCATACATTCCCTTCTTTGCCTCCATAGATAACGTTTTTTGACTCCACATATACCTCAACGCACCACTCCACCTTTTTTCCCTCATCAATTCTATGATTAACCTCATCCTTCATAAATCCATCCGCCGACACGTCAACTCCCAAGTATCTGAAAACATTCACTTCTTCCATACTCCTCCTCCCCAATTTGATATCCAATTTTTCTTTATCTAAATCATTTGATACCCTCATCACCTTACTCTTTTCTATGTTGACTTTCAACTTTCTACCTTTACACACATTCTCAAACTCATCCACTAACCTTTGTAATTTTTCTTTAGAATCTCCCATAAGCACAGTATCATCAGCAAAAAGTAACTGTGTCAATTCCCATTTTGAATTTGATTCCCCATAATTTAATCCCACCCCTCTCCCGAACACCCTAGCATTTACTTCTTTTACAACCCCATCTATAAATATATTAAACAACCATGGTGACATTACACATCCCTGTCTAAGACCTACTTTTACCGGGAAGTATTCTCCCTCTCTTCTACACACCCTAACCTGAGCCTCACTATCCTCATAAAAGCTCTTTACAGCATTTAGTAACTTACCACCTATTCCATATACTTGCAACATCTGCCACATTGCTCCTCTATCCACTCTATCATATGCCTTTTCTAAATCCATAAATGCAATAAAAACTTTCCTACCTTTATCTAAATACTGTTCACATATATGTTTCAATGTAAACACTTGATCTACACATCCCCTACCCACTCTGAAGCCTCCTTGCTCGTCCGCAATTCTACATTCTGTCTTACCTCTAATTCTTTCAATTATAACCCTACCGTATACTTTTCCTGGTATACTCAGTAAACTTATTCCTCTATAAATTTTTTACAATCTCTTTTTGTCCCCTTTCCCTTTATATAAAGGGACAAACATGCTCTCCGCCAATCCCTAGGTACCTTCCCCTCTTTCATACATTTATTAAACAAAAGTACCAACCACTCCAACACTATATCCCCCCCTGCTTTTAACATTTCTGTCATGATCCCATCAGTTCCAGCTGCTTTAACAAACCCCCTTTCATTTCTACGTAATGCCTCACGTACCTCCACCACACTTACATTCTGCTCTTCTTCACTCCTAAAAGATGGTATACCTCCCTGGCCAGTGCATGAAATTACCGCCTCCCTTTCTTCCTTAACATTTAAAAGTTCCTCAAAATATTCTCGCCATCTACCTAATACCTCCCTCTCCCCATCTACTAACTCCCCTACTCTGTTTTTAACTGACAAATCCAAACTTTCCCTAGGCTTTCTTAACTTGTTTAACTCACTCCAAAATTTTTTCTTATTTTCATTAAAATTTCTTGACAGTGCCTCTCCAACTCTTTCATCTGCTCTCCTTTTGCACTCTCTCACCACTCTCTTCACCTTTCTTTTACTCTCCATATACTCTGCTCTTCTTATATCACTTCTGCTTTGTAAAAACCTCTCGTAAGCTACCTTTTTCTCTTTTATCACACCCTTTACTTCATCATTCCACCAATCACTCCTCTTTCCTCCTGCCCCCACCCTCCTATAACCACAAACTTCATACATTTATTAAACAAAAAAACCAACCATTCCAACACAATATCCCCCCCTGCTTTTAACATTTCTGTCATGAACCCTATACATGTATATGTCATTTTTTATTTATATACATACCTATTACACCTACCATCAGACTTACGACTGAGTTCGGTTCCGAGAAACTAGTCTTAAGTCGAAATGGTCGTAAGTCGAACTTTACTACTGAATATCAACAAAACATTTTTGTAATGACTTTATTTTATTGTTTTATTTTGGTATTTCATGTTTTACCTTACTTTTTATGTTGTTAGTACTGTATTTTATACTGTAAGGTTTAGGATAAACACTGTGAACAACACAAATAATTGTTTATTTCCCAGAAATTTGGCATAAAAACACGGTCATAAGTCGAGTGGTCGTAAGTCGAGCAGGTCGTAAGTCGGATGGTAGGTGCATTAAGTTTAATTGATAAATTATGCCCAATAAGTGGAGAATTATCACTTTCTCTGATCAGAAGTTCTTCATGGCTTCTCTTTGGCTTTGAAGAACTTTCACCATCACTACTACTGCACTTTTGAGGCCATTATTAAGCAAAACTAAGGGTTATTTTTGAACCATGGCAAGCAGCAGATAACTGAAATGGTGGATACAGGACCCGCGGATACGGGGGTCCCACTGTATTTGTATGGTTCATGACTCTTGAACTATACATTTACCTTTTTGGCAAGATTCTGAGGTTGTGAAGAGAAATAAGAGGTTTGATCAAGAAAGCGCTGGATGGCCTCTTGTAGGCCTGGGTGAGACTGAAGGTTAGCTGGTGCCATGATTGTCTGCAGCCAATCATCCAATTCAGATTTACGCTTTTCTAAGAACCATGCAGCCAAGTTATTTAGCATTCTTTTACTTGGAAATGATATTGATGACAAGTCCATGAACTGAAAATATAAAGATACACTTATGTTATCATAAGAATGCTTGAATGAACCATACCATTAATTGCAACATAAAACCCTAAGAAATTTGTTAAGTTTATAATATGTATATCAACTAAACTCATTCCCCCCAAGAGAAAGAATGCTGTTTTCCCTCCCCCTTCCATCTCACAACACTTGTCTTCCCTGTCTAAATCACTAAGTCTAATAAACATATCTACCATTCATATATAAAGTACTACTGTACTGTTTGCATTACAGCTACAAGACCATAAATAATAGTGCTACCCCAGACTCTCTGGTGAGTTATAACAGAACCTGTATACATCACACTAGAAATAAATATACTACAGTGGTACCCAGAGTTTCGGCCACCTCCCAACTCGAACGATTATGTAAGTGTATTATTGTAAATGCTTTTGTAAGTGTATTTTTGGGGGTCTGAAATGGACTAATCTAATTTACAATATTCCTTATGGGAACAAATTCGTTCAGTAATGGCACTTGAATAGCTTTCTGGAATGAATTATGGCCGAAACTTGGGATTCCACTGTATATAGAACCTCTTGTATATCCCATGTGTGTGACAAAAGAATTAATGTGCAAATAAAGGGGTAAAAATATATAATAGCTTGTATTTGGAGAAAAAATATGGTAAAAAAGAAAAACTGCTCAAGTTAGAAATATACATACTCAGTAAACAAGGTACATATGTCAACAGCAGCAGCAATAATAATAATAATAATAATAATAATAATAATAAATAATAATAATAATAATAATAATAATAATAAATAATTATTACTCTGGGAAACTTTAATTGTTGCATAAATCATTATAGACATTTTCACTAATCCATGTACGACTTTTTTTAAACACTGTATAAGAAACACGCTACACATCATAAACAAAATATATACAATCACAGTAAAACAAATTAACATGATTGTGAGGTGTGGTAGCTGAGTGGGCTACCACATCACCTGACTTCTTACAATAAATATTACTCACCTCTTACTCTACATCAAGACTACAAATATTTCAACATAGTAAGTATACTGTATAGGTAGTAGGATGGTAGACAGCAACCATTCAGGGAGGTACTACCATCCTACCGAATGAGTGTAAAAAGGAAGCCTGTATTTGTTTTACATGATGATAGGATTGCTGGTGTCTTTTTTCTGTCTCAAACATACAAGATTCCAGGTACGTCTTGCTTCTTCTACTTACACTTAGATCACACTACACATACATGTTTATGTATACACTCTTTTCTGAGTTTTCTTTGATTTTATCTTAATAGTTCTTGTTCTTATTGTTTTTCCTTTCATATCCATTGGGAAGGGGAATAAGAACCTTTCCTCTGTAAGCCATGTGTGTTGTATAGGTCAACTAAAATGCTGGGAACAATGGGCTAGTAACCCCTTTTCCCGTATAGCTTACTAAAAAGAAAAAGAAGAAAACCGTCAAAATGGGATATTTGAATGTGTATGGATGTTGTGTGAATGATACGAGAGAGATGATTGTGGAGGTTATGAATGAGAAGAAGCCAGATGTCCTGGCTTTAAATTAAAGCTAAAGGGAGGTGGGAAAGTTTCAGTGGGGAGAAATACATTGGATTAGGTCAGGGGTTTCAAATAGAGTTAGAGCTAAAGAAGGAGTAGCAATAATGTTGAAGGATAAGTCATGACAGGAAAAGAGGGAATATAAATGTAGAAATGCAAGAATTATGTGGTGTAAATAAGGCCTGGATGTGTAAACTGGGTTACAGTGTTTATGCACCTGGAGAAGAGAGAAGTGTAGAGGAGAGAGATTCTGAGAAATGTTGAGCGAGTGCATGGGGAGTTTTGAACCAAGTGAGAGAGTACTTGTGGTTGGGGCTCTCAATGTTAAAGTGGATGAAGGGAGTAGTAGGTTAATTTGGGGTACCAGGGGTAAATGAAAATGGGGAGCTTTTAAATGAGCTATGTGTAGAAAGAGGTGTGGTAATAAGTAATACATATTTTATGAAAAAGAGGATAAATAAGTATACAAGGTATGAAAGCAGTCTGTTAGATTATGCATTGGTGGATAAAAGGTTGATGGGTAGGCTTCAGAATGTACACGTCTATAGAGGAGCAACGGATATATTGGATCATTATTTAGTTGTAGCTACAGTTAGAGTAAGAGGTAGATGGGACATAAGGAAAAAAGCAACAGCAAGCAAGAGAGGTGAAAGTGTGTAAACTATGGGAGGGGGAAGTTAGGGTGAGATATAAGCAACTATTGACAGGAAAGTGGACCAATGCGAGTAGTGGGGGGGGGAGGGGGTTGAAGAGGGTTGGGATAGTTTTAAAAATGCATATTAGAATGTGGAGCAGAAGTTTGTGGCAATAGGAGGGTGGGTGCAGGAGGAAAGAGCAGTGATTGGTGGAATCATGAAGTAAAGGGTGTGAAAAAAGAGAAAAAGGTAGCTTATAAGAGGTTTTTACAAAGCAGAAGTGTTGTAAGAAGAGCAGAGTATATGGAGAGTAAAAGAAAGGTGAAGAGAATGGTGAGAGAGTGCCAAAGGAGAGCAGATGAAAGATTGGGAGAGGCACTGTCAAGAAATTTTTATGAAAATAAGAAAAAAATTTGGAGTGAGATATACAAGAGGTTAGTGGGCGAATTTAGAAGTGTGTGCAAAGGTAGAATGCTGAAAGTGAACATAGGAAAAGAATAAGGTGATGAGGTTATCAAATGATTTAGATAAAGAAAAATTGGATATCAAATTGGGGGGGGAGAAGTACGGAAGAAGTGAATGTTTTCAGGTATTTGGGAGTTGACGTATCAGATGATGGATTAATGAAGGATGAGGTTAATCATAGAACCAATGAGGGAAAAAAGGTGAGTGGAGCATTGAGGTATCTGTGGAGACAAAAAATGTTAACTATGGAGGCAAAGAAGGCAATGTATGAAAGTACAGTGGTACCAACACTTATATGGGCGTGAAGCTTGGGTTGTAAGTGCTGCAGCGAGGAGGTGGCTGGAGGCAGTGGAGATGTCCTGTCTAAGGGCAATGTGTTGTGTAAATATTAAGCAGAGAATTTGGTGTGTGGAAATTAGGAGGTGGTGTGGAGTTACTAAAAGTATTAGTCAGAGGGCTGAAGAGGGATTGTTGAGGTAGTTTGGTCATTTAAAGAGAATGGATCAAAGAAGAATGATTTGGAGAGTGCATAAATCTGTAGGAGAAGGAAAGAGGGGTAGGCGTCGTCCTCGAAAAGGTTGGAGGAAGGGGGTAAATGAGGGTTTGGACTTCCAGCAAGCATGTGTGAGTTTGTTAGATAGGAGTGAATGGAGACGAATGGTTTTTGGGACTTGACGAGCTGTTGGAGTATGAGCAGGGTAATATTTAGTGAAAGGATTTAGGGAAACCAGTTAGCCAGGCTAGAGTCCTTGAAATGGGAAGTACAATGTGTGCACTTTTAAGGAGGAGTTTGGGATATTGACAGCTCAGAGGGACTTCTAAACTGTCGTATCTGAGCACCTCTGCAAAGACAGTGATTATGTGTGAGTGAGGTGAAATTGTTGAATGATGAAAGTGTTTTCTTTTTGGGGATTTTCTTTCTTTCTGGGTCACCCTGCCTCAGTGGGGGACAGCCAACTTGTTAAAAAAAAAAAAAAGTATACTGTATACACATTTTACTTTATTTTCTTTTACGCCTAGCTCTATTGCTAACAAAAATTATGATAGTGTAAACATATCATCAAAAATATGCATTTTAAAGTGAAAAAAAAAAATTGTATCGCTTTAACCCTTTGACTGTTTCAGGCCCCTTTCTGAAACTGTCATTCTATGTCGCTAAATTTTTGAAAAAAAAAAAAAAATATCATGAAATGATAGAGAATCTTTTCCCGATGGTAATGACACCAAAAGTTCGAAATTTGGTCGAAAACTCATGGAATTACACTCCCACAAAGTTAGCAGTCTCGGCGACATATGCATATCGGCGATTTCACCGACTTTGAGCCCTATTTTCAGCTAATTCCATTGTTCCAGTTGACCAAACTCATAGCTATTTCTTTAGAACTCCATTTTATCTATCAGCTGAGTACAAGAAACCTCCCATTTACCAATTTGGACTACCCAATATTGTGGTCAGAAATTGGCAATTTGGCCAATTTCACGCAAACTAAAAAAGATGCCAATTTCAAAATAGGGTCCACAATAAACAAGGTAGACATTCTTGGCACTAAAATAACATATCCTCTGTTCATTAGTCACATCTCTAGGCCCCTCTTATATTATTATTGCTTTCTATTTTGATTTTTTATTCATACAAAAAAATACAAAATTTACTGTTATGCAGACTACTGCATTATTGTAAAAATGGTATAAATAATATCAGTGCACTAGTGAAAGAATATTAGACTCCCCAGTTGACGTGAATTGGACGTGTGGTGTGATTTGTTTACTCCTGAACATTGGTAAAAATCAAACATTTCCGCTATTTTGAGCTCAGTTTCAAGGTCGTTTTCATCGTCAAAGTAATGAAAATCATCTCTATTTCTGTAACATGTTTTCCATTTTATCACTAAAGACCATGAAAACGCAAATACATCGATAAATACTATACGAAAATACACCTCAAAGTCGGTGTTTTAATCCAAAAAAACGATCAGTTTTTTTTTCTCATTACGCACTGTGTGCTGCAGGACTTTTTTTATGTGGTGCACACTGACCACACAGACCCATTCTCTCACATGTGGGCCTATCAGCTTTCTTCCGCTTGATTTGAAGCCGCTAGAATTTTTTTTTTTTTTTCAACAAGTCGGCCGTCTCCCACCGAGGCAGGGTGACCCAAAAAAGAAAGAAAATCCCCAAAAAGAAAATACTTTCATCATTCAACACTTTCACCACACTCACACATTATCACTGCTTTTGCAGAGGTGCTCAGAATACAACAGTTTAGAAGCATATACGTATAAAGATACACAACATATCCCTCCAAACTGCCAATATCCCAAACCCCTCCTTTAAAGTG